GGTAACTGACCATCCAATGCTATAAACGGTATTAAATCTTTCAACAGCTGAGCGACTATCAGCTACTCACGAAAAACTTTTGCTCAACAGAAATAGGCGTCACCAGACTTTCCGTTCACAGAATCTCAAGGGTTGTTCAGTGAGTCATATATGTTGAATTACTACGAAGAAAAATCCAGGGTAATTAATTACACAAAGACACGCCTTTTTAAACAACAACTCAACAATTAAAATTTAATGGTAAAATACAGTTTGAAGCGAAACGTCCATCTAAATAATATTTAAAAATCAAGTTCCCACCTCAAAACACAACGCGTCTCCACCAAAAATATTTATTTGGTTAATGATGAACGCTGTTTATTCTGATAATCATATAAAACCCCATAAATAAACTAAGGCTGCAGTTACCGATTATTAAAAGTTAACAAAGTGTTAAAACTGTATAATGTTAAACTTAACGCATTACAAGCAGACCCTCTGCGAGCCGGTAAGCGCGTAATTTGTCGTTAGAATGTGCACGCTTTTTTTTTTGGGGGGGGGGTTCCAAAATTACGAGTGATTTCCATTTACTGAAGGATATTTAAGACACATTAAAGAATGTTGCAGGATTCCAAAACCTGTCAGAAAGGGCCATAATCAGGTTTACTGGAAAATAAGAAAGGTAGCTTGGCCGTCGCAATTATTTATTTGGTGTTCTGTCTGAGGACAGGTCCATATGAACAGGATCCTTCCATCCTTTTCTCGGACTGGGACCTGTTCATATACGTTCTTGGCAGATGATCCAGAAGTGGTTTGCCATTGCCTTCTTCTGTGTGTGAATGGAGTAATTGTTGGGATGCCACGGAGGAAAACTCCGTGTTGCCTAGACCACGGCCTTGCCCAACACAAGTTATAAATTCGGGCACCGCCGGGAATCGAACCCGAGACCCCAGGATTACATAGCAAAGAAACTAAAGGAACTGTACCCGGCAAACCTATAAAGTATGTATATGACGAGAAGGAAATGACTAGCCACTTTTTCCAACACTTCTGAATCACAACTCATTTGAGGTTATATCGTGAAGAGCTGAAATTTCTGCAACACATTTCATAATTCTGAGCGTTTATCTCCTTCGTCTTACGCTGATTTGATTGGTACTTGCGTACGAATAGTGATGAAACAAAAAACTAAAAAGATAAGAGGAATCATAAAAGAAGCTATGAACACTTACGGCGCCACATTTTAAATAACTGTCTATATAAATAAGTTACTCGTCACTAACTGGAATCTTCAAAACTACAAACAGTTACAATGAGATCATTTCATATTATTAACAACATTCCGGTAGTGGAAAGCATTCAAACGGAAATTGTGTACGAAGGTCGCTAACTTGTACAAACGGTGAATAAGCTATTAATGTTAATCTCCGCATGGAGCAAAGGTTCTCCCGGAAATGCCACAAAAAGGGTGCATTCACCCTCAGACTTAGGACTACCCTCCCTGGACATTTTCAGCCAGAGAAAAATAAATAGTCTTACTTATCACTCTGCGGTCGAACCACTACAGAGGATGAATCATCGAGGGCGTTCAAAGTTCCTCGGACATTCGTTGTTTGGAAATATTAAAGCATTTCAAAATGTGCAAATTTAGACCAAACTAACTAATGTAACTCGAGTGCCCCCCTCCAAAATAACTTTGTACCAACTCACGAATTTACATTAAATTCGGTATCAAAATTACGCCACTTTCAATTTCTATCAGTCAACATGGCAAGCCTGCGAATTTTGATATGGAAACAAAACTAGTCCCGTTTACTTTATTTGGGATCGTAGCATTTTTAACTCAATAAACCTTCGAGTTATACGCCAACTTTAATTTTCTTTTTGCGTGGGACCACACAAATTATAAATCAATTTTCCCTTTCATGCAATCAACTAAAAAAGAACTTAGATTGGGGTTTGTTAAATTCATCTGCAACCACGTAAAATGTGTGCAGATGTTTCACTATAAACACTAACATGTCCGGGGCGCGAAATTTTGAGCTCATATCTGACAACTTTAAGGCAGCAAGAATCGACATTACTGGAAATCACCACAAAAGTAAACAGTAAAATTATCCCTGTGTTACGCCGTGTAGGCGTGGATGGCTTCATTCTTAACCTTGTAGCTACAATAAGCCGAATTTAGATCACAGAGCTCTGAAATGATTGGTTTCTTTATTATTTTCTAAGAAAGCTTGCTTTTACTGAGTTAACAAACTCAGGTTTCAAGCTCAGGCGTCAAGTCTGAATGCGTGTGCTGAAAATCACGCCAACTTATAAATAAATTAACTATTTCTCAAGAGGGAAAAACAGTTGGTTGATATTTGGTCTGTCTCCCTAGAATTCTTTGTTCTAGGTTGTATAAACATCGTGCTGACAAGCTGAAATACTTATTATGCTGGCTCCAGTTCAGTAGAAACACCAGAGTCAATGCTACTGTCATTCTCCTTTGAATCACATCACGTTACTAAAATTAGGATACCCATCCATTTGAAAGCTTTGAACTTTCGAGTTTTATAACTCTCTTCAGACTTGCACAGCTTCCTCGAAAACCCAAAATAAGATTAAAACGCAAATATTATTTCTACAGGCTGAACCGTCTTCATTCAAACGCAATACAAAACATCAAGATTTCTGTCTTCTGGGTTATTGCGCTGTGTAGTCTGGTCGATGTTAACCAACGTTTCAGAGGTCATACTGCCTCCGTCATCAGGGCGATGAATATATTCATATATTCATCGCCCAGAAATCTTCATATTCACCGCTGTGAGAACCTCAAGTCTTACACAATACAAAACATCGTTCGTCACGTAAGATTTTAAGTTAAGTTGTAGCAAATAATACAGGAACACAACAACCAAAGGCTTTACCTTCTACAAATTCAAGATTAATTTCGAAATTTATCTTAAGTTTTCCCGCCAGAAGTTTGCACTTCCCTGTTTCAAATTAAAGCACATCAGTCCCGGTGAGAAGTTCATTTGGGGACCTCATTTTGCTGTAAATTTTAATCTTTCGAAGTTATCACCACAAAAGAGGTTAGTATTCTCCCACAAGAGCACATTAGTGAACAAACTTTTCGCCATTCTTGTGCCAAAGTTTTCATTGAAATTTAATGCGTAACTTCGTCTTTCTGGGATAAGCCACCATAAAGATGAACTACTTCGCCCTGCAACTGCAATGTTTGTCGAAACGTTAAAAAAAACTTCAATAACAGACGTGGCTTATCTCCAAAAGCCAAATTTACGCATTAACTTAGAACCGTCTCATTATAGGTGTTCTCGAGTCGAATTTAAAGATCGCGGCAATTTATATACGCGTAAAATTCACGATTAAAGAACTCTTATCAAGTACAGTCCTACTTCAGACGGTAATAGCAACTGATGGTTTAAAAAAACAGTCGTTTATGAAATTTGAAAATACATTACCGTGTGTGGGTTCCCAAAGCCCGCCTGGACGCCACAGCAAAGATAAAAATCCGCGTCGAAACAGATTCGTCTACCTAGTCGCTGTACTGACGAAGCTACCGTTTCCCCGAGCATTAACCCGTTCTTCCCGCAGAGCGACGGGACCAAAGCTCACACTAACCAAAAATGTAGACTGCAGTCAGAGGACTAACACGCAATGTCGAACCGTTTTCACTTTGCCTGCAATAGTTTATTTCTTACGATAAAACGGAACGTACCTATTCAGAAAGCGGCTAGTAATTCTCCACTGCTGAATGTGAATCGGGGGTCGACTGTACTTGAGGCCACTGGCTACACTGGTAAATGCGTACCAGACTCCAGGATGCTTTTAAATGACCATTGATGAAATAATAGTTGAACTACGTCAGACCTTGTTGAAAGCGTATTCAGTCCGTGGGATAGAACAAGTAGGCTTTATGGTCTTCCAAAAGGTTAATTCTGCGATACGACTGTACGTCTGTCTGTCCAACGTATGAAAGAGAATTCATTTCAAGTTAATGGTTTTCATCTTTCGCTGGACGGGGGTTAAGAGACACGAATCGAAGCCTTCTAAGTCAGAACAAGTAAATGCACTTCTAGGTTTAAAAAAGGCACGTAGGCTACACGCAGTGAGCTTTATCACGAAACATTCTATTGGCTTCTTCGGTAAGAGACCAATGACTTACGACAGGGTTCCGACCGGAACCCTGGAACAGCCATGTGTTTAGTGCGATCCTTGTGTCCAGTTGTAACACTTATCACCCTGCATGATGAAATACAGCTACAGAAAACAAGTTATGTTAATGCTATCAGTATTTTACACGAAGTGTCCCCGTGAGCAACTGTTTAGCTTAATAAAGAACAAGTCGAGAATTACGATGCTTCTTACTAACACTTGGAAGGTTGAAACAAACAGAAATTGTACCTGATACTGAAATATTACTTAACCAAATAAAGTGTCAAATATCTTATTAACGACTGGCTTTATTAAAGATATTTAAGTAATACGTGAATCCCATTCAAATAGTAGACCTGATTCAGCAGAAAGTTTAATAAATTTCTATGGAGTTCAAATAAACTGACCTCATTTGCAACCTTGCGGCCCGCAAGCCGATAAGAAAGGGTGAATGTGGCCCCAGGTCCGGAACCCCTGCCGTAAGGGGTTTCAAATAAAATATCAAAATAGATTCAGACGTATTAAAATATTTTTTGCGAATATTTTACTATTCCGGGCGACACACACACCTTTGTTGTTAAAAAAATTATGAAGGTTGAGAATCAAACACGAAACGACATATTACAAGTATCGTAAGTCGCGTGTTGTATTCTCCCTCCATCAGGGAGACGATCCAAAACGTCGGTAAACTTTGACAACATAACATGGCGCAAGAACCTACAAGGCAGACGTGTTTAAGACTGACTACAATTTGAAATAGACATGAATGCAATTACATTAAAAAATCCACGAAACTTGGACATATTCTGTTAGTTAGGCTGCAGACTTGCGTATAATGTATGATTATAACCAAGGCTTACCTTATGGCAAGGAGCGTGTTCCTAACAAGTCAGCAACATCAATGTCCCACTAGACTAAAAATTTATAGGCCTGCGCACAAATTCTCTCACTTGGCACGAAAACCAACGTGTGTATCTATCACACAACTTTTCTTTTAAACAATACCAAGTCGTCCTGTGTCCCTACCCAAACACGCTCTATGCTGTCATTTTCCTCGCCAAACTTGAGGTCTGCGACGAAGTTCCCAGTGAGACCAGTCAACAATTACTATGACGAAGTCATTTATATCAACTCGACATTTGGACGACACGCAAGCCTGTCACAGTTTATTTATAACGCGCGGCACTTCCCTGGCAATGTCAGTCTATTTTCAACCGTGAATGCAACGCAGATGTTTGAAGTGTTAATTATTTTGCCACAGCCTATTACCTGGGACGAAAAGAAGTTCATTACTATGACACTAGATAAACAAGGGCATACGGATTCAACGCATTAGTGTCACATAACTGCAGAACTCTAAACGTCTGTGACATCAGTTGACACTGTCCCTTCTACAATGAGGATATTTGGCTTCTGTGCCGCCAAATACCCTCACAAGAGCGTTGGCTCAACTTCCATCTTCGGATTACTCACTGATCACTATTTTATTTTTATATTTGGGACGTTTTGGTTTTTCGATGATCAGCGCAGATCCTGTGTTCGATCCCAAACTCAGCCGCCAACTGTTACGAGACTGGCACTGAAATTCAACTCGAGGGCTTAACAGCATAGTGAACTGCGGTTATATATGTTGGCTCACCGGACTATACATAAAAAGTCTATATTATCATAAAGCAAGTTTTGTTGGTGTCGCCAGTATCTGGAAATGCTTATCGCTGTGGACAACTCAATGTAGGACATCAAATCAAGAATTAGAACGCCTTTTTACTGATTGGGAATGAGGAGGCAAGCGAAACGCAAAACGGAAATATACCTGACACTAAAAGTCTGCTCAAGCAGAATAATTGCCAAATGTTTCATTTATTATTAACTGTATTACAGAAAGTAATTAATATGTGGACAGAACCTGTTGCAACAGTCAGCCTAATTTAGTTGCATTTCAGTAAATTACCATAAACTACTATCAGCCTAATTTAGTAGCATTTCAGTAAATTACCATAAACTACTCATGCACTGATTGTATCCAAGATCTGGGAAAACCTGACAACTCCGGACTCAAAACTCGACTAGACCAAATGTTGACGGAATTTAAACACCCGATGTCACCAACGTAACGCAATGGCTGTTTTGAAACGAAGAGGGGGCATAGCCTATCAGCTGCACAGCCATGACTGTCTTTTGACCCTCGTTATATCACGTGAACGAGAGGTCGCCATTAACGAGAACAAAGGGTACTGATGTCTGCCCTTGTGAAGAAGCAATTGAGGGCAATGATACAACCACTTGGATCACCCCATACTTCACAGAAATTTCTTCTCACAGTAAACAAGGGTTATTTCCTTAAACAGCATCAACTACTTGATCTCTAATGAAGACATGTTGTGTTTTCTTTGAGGTATGACTAAATTTTTGAAAATTATTTACATCGGCTTTGGGCTTCAAAACGAAAATGACCAACTGTATTTCCAATGTTACGTAATCCCAGTTATCCAATGCTTTATATGCAATACAATTCTAAAGAGAAAGTCTCTTCATTCTCACGTGTCCGAGTGGACCACAGAATGCGTGGATTCATTGATGGCCTGAGTTCACGTCCCTTTCAACAGATTCATTTGAGTGGACGGGGAATTTACGCGGTGCTGAAGAAAATCATACCTATAACTGGCGCCCTCTAACTAGAAGCACGAATGACGTCAGAGCGCAGTACGTATTATAACCTCTCTATCACAGAGAACTTAGCAATGTAAATTTTCCGCTGGCTTCAAATTACAACAGAATTAAATTCCCTGGCTTTCACTCTTTCTGACATCTCGTCTTTTGTGTCCTTCCCTTCCAGCCGCAAGACTCCAAGGTCGTGGATTGGTACGAGGTTCCAGTCGTCTCTTGAGGTCAATACGCCTCAGTCGGTCGACCTTGGATGTTGCAGAGAACACGCTCTGGAGAGACGGTGGAACGCACTACATCAAAATACAGCAAGCCATGTTCAAAATGGAGACCTTTCTTCATCGGAAAATACAACGGGAACTCAATATTACATTTCCGCTGATAAACAGAAATGACGTCAGCACCGGTCTTCTGGATTGTGACGTCGTGTGGACTTGTAGATACCATCGCTTCGGCGGGAGATACTGTCTCCATCTTCAGGCCATTCAGATTTCAATATGAAAACTGAATGTGTCTCAGAAACGTTGATACCAACTACAAGTCAACGTGAAGTCACAACAAAGAAGACCAACATCGACATCACCGCCGTGATAACCTCAAACAGAAAACGCGGTTTAACAGAAAATTGTTCATCTTTTTCGCGTTACGCTGTTCAGAACGATGGTTCCCGGGATTTATATGGAAATGAATGGCGCAATACTAAATACGTCCAACAAATTTTATTTCCGTCTAACAGTTTTGTAGTTTAAACATGGAAACACGGCCAAAACACTAGGCGTTTGTTTCATGCACTCGCCGTCAGCACATTGAACGCGAAGTAGAAAAGTGATATATGGCTCATCATAAAAAAATTGTAGTGCCTGCGTAACACGAACTGCGTATCTCCTTCAGGAATGAAACATTTGCGACTCTTCTGAAAGAGTGAATACTTTGCGAAATACGAAGAAACAGTAGGCTACTAAGTGAGAAAGAGTATGTCTATATAACAAGTTTTATGCTTTACTGAACGAATTTTAATATCAGCCTGATTATACTACTGCCAAAAACTTTCCGGCAATAATTTTTAATTAGTAACATACAACTGGTGTGCGTTAAGACACGTACGTACAGTTTCTTAGATTACGCCACAATACGATGCTACATACCACAATTTCAGGCCTCTAGCTGATAAGATGATTCGAACGTCTTTGCATCAATGAAGAAAGGACAAATAAACTTTCTAGAGCACAGGACGTCACTATGACGCAAACACAGCACAACTGAGGACTGTTCTCACATTTCCCCACATTCATAGGATACCTGTCGCCAACACACCTGCCTGACAAACGCACAGCACAGCAATCAGGAAGATTGTTCCGCAGATGACAAAGGTAACTGCGTTGTTCTCTAGTTCCCGTGAAAAGCAGAATACGTGCACAACCTATCAATATTTTGGGGGTTGAGTTTGCAGCCGACAACGCATGGAATCCAGTTCATATCCATTTTAACGTCATCGTCCCATTTAGGCTACTAAACATTAATCTCCATAGAGCAGTCTTGAAAAGCTGAAATCCCCTCATTTGGCCAGGAAATTCCTTCATTTATGGAACCCAAAGGTTCATTAACGTGTTCGCACCGGCCCCTACCCTGACCCACATAAATCCAGTCCACACGAACGCACCTTTTCCTTATTTATGATGCGTTTGAACATTTTCTATGCACATGTCGTCCTAGTGTTATCTTCCATTCATGCCTCCCACCCAAAATTTGGTATGCTTTTCTTATCTCCCTCATGCGTGCTAATATGTCCGGCTCAACCCATTCCCCTTCGTTTAATTACTCAAACAAGTACAAATTATGTACGAACGTAATTTGACGTTTTTATTTCATCTCTCTTAATCGTATAACGCCCAGTGGTCATTGTATGGAGCACCTTCTCTAACAAATTCAAATACGATACTCAACACCCTGTTCTCACAGCGAGAAACTGGTCTCCAACCACACGTTTCTTTCTAGAAGCCCAACGACCACAACCTTTGGCCTTTCCTCTGCAGCGGAAGTTTCCAGTTTCGAATACCAAGGCCAGAATGCAACAGACGTTTCATCTACTCGACTCAGATCCTGTCTCCTTCAATTACCGCACTGACCTCCGCCTTACCCTTTCGCGATTTGTAATAAAAAAAAAACCTGTTTTGGCCTCGGCCTTATATTTCATTCTTAACTTTCGCCCTTATCCGAAGTGATCTCAAATATTCCACGAAACAATTTATTCATGCAAATATGGAGAGAAAGGAAGTTGCCGTACTACGCTGTAACATACTTTACACACAAATAATCTCGTCTCCAAAAGTTAAATAAACAAAAATATGGAAAGCAACCATCAATCACCAAAACAAAATTAAATATTCCACGCCAACGGGTTTCGATCTCACGTCTATTTTTACAAGAATCCGAATGTGAAATCAGTTTCCAAAATACAGACCAGCGGTTGGGTGGAACTGCTTTCGGAATCAGCGTTTAATTCAAATGTAAAAGTTGACAGCGCCGTCAGCAGGGGTCGATACATGTTGTCTCAGTTCAGTCAGACAAAAATTTACTTGTGTAACATTTCCTCCACAAGAGGAAACTCAAGACTCAAACTGGCTACACCGGATGCGCACAGTGGAAGCTCTTATCTTACACGTGTCGAAAAGGTCGAGATAAATCCGAGGGATGTTTCACACGATGAAGAATAAGAACAATTGACGATTTGTATTCGTTTTTCCCCACATCCCAACGTTCAGATTTCCAGTGCCGCGTTAACTAGGACTCTCACACCCTTTATTATTATTATTCAGTGTTCTGTCTGACGACAGGTCCATTGCTCTGCCCAAAAAGAGCTCTCCAGTTTTCCCTATTCTCAGCTTCTCGTTTTAATTCCTGGAACTTCATCTTCTATCCTTGTTTAAGATCGTCGGTTAGCTGTATCAGTCTTCTCATACTCATACAGGTTACAAATGTACTGTTCCGACATGCAGAGAATTAAATATTAAAGAACGAAAAAGATTTTTCACTTGTAGGCCTCAATTTTTAATTCGTGACTGATGATGACCTCTTGAGGTCGAAACGCGCTTCGCACTAAAAGTCTTTTCAAAGTGTTAACAATTTTGTTTGTATGCATGATTTTATATATTCAGGGAATTACTCGTCAAACTTTCATCTTTCGAAATATGATAGTGCACCATGCAATTATGCAGATTCCTTATGTAGGCCAGCGTTACTTTCCGTGGGACAATGTAATTTAGATGGATTTCAGTTTCAAAACGTTATCTGAAGAACAACCAGTAAACTGATATTAGGTCTAAGTGTTCAATCTAAATGGTTGTCACTTAATACTCGTAATTCGTGTATCTGTAAATTCCCACGCCCAGAATGTCCGGTTCTGTGACCAAGAGAAGTATTT